TACGCAAGTTGTGATTTGGACAATGACTTGATGCTGGTAAACGGAGAAGGCTAAACAGAGCATCCCAATCAGAGAGAAGAGTATGTGTGTCTAGAAAATAACCAGTGGAAAAGGCAGAATGTCAGTGAATGTAGAGGGGCAATGGCCCAATTAGATAGGGGCCAGATTGTGATGGTGCTTGAATGTTATATTAAGGAATTTTGTTTTGGGTTGCCTGGGTGGCTGAGTCAGAAGAACATGTGACGCTTGATCTTGGGCTTGTGAGTTCAAGCCCCCATGTTGGGTAAAAGATTACTTAAATAAATGAATAAGTAAAAACTAAAAAAAAAAAAAAAAAAGGAATTTTGTTTTGGACATGTTGGATTTGAGGCGAGATGGAAGGAATGGCCAGCAGTGAATTCTTTCACTTCCTGACAGGCATTATTCCTGAAGGTATGCTCCAATAAGCCTCCTGCATACAAATCTCTGCCTCAGAATCTATTTCCTACGCAGTCCCATCTAGGAAAGTTAGTGCCCAAGTTGTCCTAGCAACGATGCCCCCTGGCTGGCCAGCAACAAGGATCCCATCATTGGTAGTAGGTGGAATTTGGATAATGCCTGGCATGCTGCACTGGTAACGAACTGGGATAGGGCTCTAGGGGAAGGGACACAAGGCGTAATAACTCAGTTCTTTGAGATGTTTGGGCAAAGTAGTACTTATAAGGACCATGGAATCAAATGGCGCTTGCTGTCTGCTGCTGAAGCATTGGAGAAAAAAAACCTAATGAAATATTGAGGGCAATTAACCTCCAATTCGAGATGAAATGTGAAAGCCAGAGGACCTTCTTGGCAGCATATAAGCAGACTCTCACATCCCACAGCAAGATGGAAGGAAAAGTTGAAGATTGGGTCCAGGACTTTATAAATAGTAGCAAAACTCCATAGAAGAGTGAATTCTCAGCCATGCCAAATCGGTTACACCAAGGTTAGGGTCATGAATGGGGAGGAGTGGGACCCTGAAACTTGAGATGGGGATATCTCATCTGGGTTGATGAACTTGAAAATCTGGAATCCTCGGATTCCCCTGGACCCTCTGGGCCTGAGGAAGGAACCCTTTCCTTCCTGTGAAAGGCTACTTACCCTACTCTTCTTGAAGATGATGCATAGACCTTTACCTTATTAGACGACATGAACTTAATCCCCATAATCAACCCCCATCTTGCCTTCTGGCCATCAAACTAATTACTGGGGTCAAGTAACAATATAGCCTAGCACTTTCCATAGCTGCTCAGGGAGGAAATGGACCATATGCCAAAGAGCTGCAGGATCTAGCCAACATGTATTGGCAGAAGCTGGGAGAATATATATGGGACTGGATCCTAAGGACGTGAAATTAATGGGGGTGAGATAAAATGTTGGATAAAGAAGAATTTATGGTTATGAGAACATTCTCTATAACAGGATTTAACACCCTGGGGAATAGTGTTAATTTGCTGTAGGAATGGTTTTTGAGGAAGCTTTGAAAAAGTGAAATAGAAAATTCAGACTGCTTTGGGAGAGAGTAAAGGATTAAAAGGCTCAGAGATATGTGTATTCTTTTTTTAAAAATTTTTTTATTGTTATGTTAATCACCATATATTACATAATTTGTTTTGGTGTAGTGTTCCATGATTCATTGTTTGTTCATAACACCCAGTGCTCCACGCAGAATGTGCCCTCTTTAATACCCATCACCAGGCTAACCCATCCCCCTACCCTCCTCCCCTCTAGAAACCTCAGTTTGTTTTTCAGAGTCCATCATCTCTCCTGGTTCATCTCCCCCTCTGACTTACTCCCCTTCATTCTTCCTCTCCTGCTATCTTCTTTTTCTTTTTTTCTTTTTTCCTAAAATATGTTGTGTTATTTGTTTCAGAAGTACAGATCTGTGATTCAACAGTCTTGCACAATTCACAGCGCTCACTGTAGCACATACCCTCCCCAATGCCTATCACCCAGCCACCCCATCCCTCCCACCCCCGACCACTCCAGCAACCCTCAGTTTGTTCCTGAGATTAAGAATTCCTCATATCAGTGAGGTCATATGATACATGTCTTTCTCTGATTGACTTATTTCACTCAGCATAACACCCTCCAGTTCCATCCACGTCGTTGCAAATGGCAAGATCTCATTCCTTTTGATGGCTGCATAATATTCCATTGTGTATATATACCAAGAGATATGCGTATTCTAGAGTGGATGTTTTATATAAGTCTGAAAAGCCCACTTGCTGACTATGCTCTGCAGAAGAATCTATTTTCTAAAGTGGTAAGGAATGTGCTGGTAAAAGCAGCACCAGAATCATTGAGAAACTCCGTGGTGACTATCTTCTGCAGGCCGGGGCTTCAGCAGTAAGCTCTGTCATTATAAGACTTCGCTACCTGATATCCAGGGGGATGATAGGATCCGAAAGTAATAGAGGCCAGGTGATAGGACTGCAGTCATCAGAAGCAAAGTGCGTGCAATTATCATAAAGGAAAGGGCAAAGTGGCCCTCAGAGGAGTCTAACACGTAGCGAGTTATGAAGATGGTTAAGAGATGTGTGTCTAGGGCAAGATAAATTGAGTATTGCTTAATCTGTAAATTAAGAAATCAAGAATGGATGATCAGGAGGCTGAGAGCAGACACCCCCAAAAAGTCATGATTCTTTGCCCACTTTCTGTATCAAGAGTCCGTTTCAGATCAGAGCTCAGTGGGTGAAGTCGGTGCAAGTCCTTGCCAGAGAAGATTAATATGGTCTCAGGTACAGACTGTTGATATTATGAATGCGTTCTTTTCCATCCTGGTAAGAAAAGACAATAAGAAGCAGTTTGCATTCCTGTGAGATGGACACAGCTGTACACATTTATGTTGTTGTCCTAGGGCCATGCTAACTTTTCATCTTCTGACATAGTACAAAGGGACCTGGACCACCTGGAGATGCAGAATATCACGTGGTCTCTTACATTTGTGGATGACTTCATTAGACTGGATGAGCCAGAAGGCACAAGTATGCTGGTGAACTTGGAAAGACACCTGTGCACCAGTCAGTGAGCTATAAACCCTATGAAGGTAAAATCACCATGTAGACTCTAGGTTCTGGAACAAGGTCCATGATCTGCACAGAACCTAAAACTCTTTTGAAAATCAGCTCTTATTGTGCTACTGGGCCCTGATAGCAATGGAGCATCTGATTATGCAACATCATGTATCCACGTGGCCAGAACTGCTATGAGCTGGATTCTGTAAGACCCACCAAGTCATAAAGCCAAATGGGTCTACGGGCAAGCCACTGTAATGTGGAAATGGTCCATCTGAATTAGGTGCAAGCAGGGTCAGAGGGCACGAGGGCACAAGTAAACTGCATAAGCAGATAATCCAGACCCCAGTTCCATTTATAAACCTTGGCACTTTTATGGTTTTACCCAAAGTTACCTGACTGGAAAGACACCTGCAAAACTTTGTCTTAATAGGGGTCTAACTAGAGAAAAAGAACTATTCTGAGTATTTGACACAAAGAATTTTGTATAGGAAGTCATAATATCTGAGTGATGGAATAACCAAAAAAAAAAAAAAACAACAGGGCATGGTGAGACAACCTAGAGATTAGCAATGGTGGACAGTTGCTTTGTTCCTGTCTGGAGAGGAGGTGATGTCTCTGGAACCCAGGATTTAGGGTTATTCCACCCCAAATCTACCCTTCATTCTAAGATGGCCCCCAAGATCCTTACCTCTCTGGTATACGTGTTGTGTAATCCCTTCCTCTTAAGTGTGCGTGAGACTGTGATTAGGATGGATTTTCACACGCATGATTGGATTACACCAGATGACAAAGGTGAAGGACTTTTGCAAGTGTAGTTGATGTCTTAAATGAGTTCATCAAAAAGGCGATTTTCCTGGGTGGGCATGGCACTTGGGTGATCCCTAAAAAGGGACTGTACTCTTCCTAAGAGAAGAGATTCAAAGTTTAAGAGGGCCTATAGAGGGGGCCACATGGCAAGAGAGTCTTCCAGTTGTTGAGAGTGGTCCCCAGGCAACAGCCAACAAGAAAACAGAGACTTTAGTCCTACACCTGTCAGGAACTGGATTCTACTAGCAACCTGAATGCACTTGGAAGTGGATCATTTCCTCACTGAGCCTCTAGATGAGGTTGCCGCAGCTAACACCTTAATTTCAGGCTTGTGAGATTTTAAGCAGAGGACGCAGACAAAATGTGCCAGACTCCTAATCCACAGAAAGAGTGAGATAATAAATCTGTATTGTTTAAGTTACTGAGTTTGTGGTAATATATGATGCAGCAGTAGTAAACTAATACAGGTCCTGTAAATATTACTGTAAGTACTTCTCCTTTGTCAGTTGGCATAATATTAAGCTTTGTCAGTAGGAGACGCTGGAGAAACATTTCAGGGGGAATTTTGGGTTTTCTTTTCCTCCCTCTTTCTGATCTCCCTGTGCTTCTCTTACGTGTGCTCCCATAGTCTGTTCTGTCTCTGCAATGCCCAGCTTCTGCTGCATGCACGGTTTCTGCAATGCCCAGCTTCTTCAGGTTCCCCTAGCCAGTAGCACATGGTACCTCCCTGCAGGCAGCTTCTCTCAGCATTCCCTAGAGTGCCTTTGCAGTGAGTTGCAAGGTGAAGCATCTGCCTGGACCTGGGGTTCCTCAGTACTTCAGCAAGTTCTGCTGGCATGGCACTTTAGGAAACTTCACCACCATCCAGTGAGCCATGGCAATTCTGTCTCCAGGAAGATCTAGATCTTAGTTTGGTGAGGTTGGGAAGGATTGTACTTGGATTCACTATCTTAGCGCGAGGTTGTGACTGTTCTTTATATTTGCTATTTTATTTTTATGTTTTTAATTTATTTATTTGACAGAGAGAGAGACAGCTAGAGAGGGAACACAAGCAGGGGGAGTGGGAGAGGGAGAAGCAGGTCTCCAGAGCCCGATGAGGGGCTTGATCCCAGGACCCTGGGATCATGACCTGAGCCAAAGGCACACACTTAACCGACTGAGCCACCCAGGTGCCCCAATATATCTGCTATTTTAAAATTCTTTAGAGTTCTTTTTATTTCTTACTGGCCGCTCCTGCATTACTCCAGTGTCTGTTATAGTGAATAATTCTTTATACTAAACTTTCCCCATTCACATTACTGGATGGGTTCTCTCTCCTGTGTTTGGACCCTTGGTTGAATTGTGTTATTTAACAGATTTGGTGGTGGTGACAAAGCTGGAATTCCTGACAAAGCTGGAATCCGTGGTAGGACTCCCCGGTTGGAAGCCAGGGCCAGCCAAGGGAGCCAGTCACTGCTCCCGTTGAGTTGCTTCCTGAGGCTGAGAGGAAGGAGGGACAAAGACCCTGATTTCTCTTTTACTCTCCCCTTCCAATCTCCCAGTCTCCAGTCCCTACCAGTGTCCCCCACTGGCCAAACCCAGCTGGAAGCCATATGACACAGGGACCAGGGAACACAGACCACTTTGATACAGAGCAGAGAAGGGAAAGGTAAGGAATGGGTCTGTTAAAAAAAAGAAAATCGCAGGCCCCAAATGGTGTCACTTAGACAGAGTTCCCAAACCAGAGCATAAGACCCAATCTACTTGTATTTTCAACCTCCCCAAGAAATGTGACCTTCACCGGTCAGTCAGGAAATGTTTCCTTTCATCAGTGCCAAGGAGTCTGTCAACTGGGCCCTCTCCATTCCCCCAAAGAAAGATGAGGTAATCTGCATGAGAAGACCCCTTGCTTTTCTCCTAGCAAACAGCTTCCTCTGGAACAATCCTTTTGTTTTGTTAGTAACTTTCTTGTCCCTGCCCTCTGTCTATAAAGACCTTCCATTTTGTACAGCTCCTCAGAGCGCCTCTCTGCTTGCTAGATGGGGTGCTATCAGACCCATGATTGTTTAATAAAACCAATTAGATCTTCAAATTCACTTGGTTGAATTGTGTTATTTAATAGATTTGGTGGCAGTGGTGGGATCCAAAGCACACTTCTAGCAGCATTTGGAGACAGTGAGAATCACAAGTGTGGTGTCTGCAAATCCCTTTGAGTTCACTGTATTTCTTGCGTTTTCCAAGGGTAAGCTCCTCTTGATCTCAGTTTTGCTCTGTTTTGTGTTTGAGCTCTTCGTCTCATCAGCTTTTCTTTGCAGGGTGGGTCAGCTTGAGCTGGTAGACAGTTATGCCCAGAGCCAGTTGAGCTGGCATGTTTGCCTGGAACCCTACTGAGCTGGCAGAAGAGTCTGCTCAGAGCCAAGCCTCTAGACTCTCAGACCGCAATTCCCCAGGTGGAAAACCCCAGCAAGATTCCATGGAAATTGGTGGTGGTATACACAGGGCCTTCTTTTGGCCAGGACCCAGTACTACTATTATATTAAAGTGAAGATTTGTCTGTCTTATCTTGTGTAAGTAAAGGCTATTGATAGCAGGATCTCAGAGGCTATAAAGCTGTAAAAATTGGTGTACACGTGTTGAGCATTCAAAGGCTGTTAGAGGGGTACCTGTGTGGCTCATTTGGTTAAGCGTCTGCCTTCGGCTCAGGTCATGATCCCAGGGTCCTGGGATTGAGCCCCGCATCAGGGTACCTGCTCAGCGGGGAGTCTGCTTCTCCCTCTGCCTCTGCCTTTCTCTCTGTCTCTCATGAATTAAAAAAAAAAAAAAATCTTTGAAGGCTGTTAGAGAGTTGATCACCTGAAGAAGATTCTTGTGGTAGAATAAGTTGGTCACAGAATGGGTTAGATTGACACCACCAACAACCTCAAGAAAACTTCCATGCCACGAGGTACACTGTAAACCACACACAATCCACGACCCTGCCACACACCGCTTTTAGGTACTAGTCTGGCTCCGAGAAACCCCAAGTTTTAGCTAATGAAATCCTTAAATTCTGAAGAGTCAAGCACAGTACCTTCTGGCATGCCTGTTTATTTTATGTCTAAGAACCATAGTCCCAGAAGTTGTAGATATCTAGCAAGATAAAACAATTTTATTAAAAATAACCTAGAATTACAGAGGCCACTATAGGGAACGTTCAGTTAGACAAACTTATTCATTTAAGAAGTGCACTTGAAAGCAAGAGTTCCCAAATTAAACAGAATGGGATGCCTATTTTTTTATTTTTTAAAAATTTTATTTATTCACTTGAGAGAGAGAGAGAGCACGAGTGGGGGAGGGAGAAGCTAGACAGGGAGGGAGAAGCAGGCTCACTGCTGAGCAGGGAGCCCAAAGTTGGTCATGATTCTAGGACCCCTGGATCATGACCTGAGCTGAAGGCAGACACTTAACCAACTGAGCCACCCAGGCATCCCCTGATTAAAAAAAATTTTTTTTAAGGCCTTCTCCCCTAAGTTAAATGTACTCAGAGGAAAAGAAGACTTTCTTATAGGTAGATGGATGTGTCAGTCCTTTGATATTATTTAGGCAACAGTCCAGTTCTTTGAGAAATGAAAAATGGCTCTCTGTGTTTTACAAATCTAGTTGGTACAGGACCAGAGGTGTGGTTCCAAAAACAATTCAAAGACCAATCCTTTTTACCAATCCCAAAACTTCTCTTATTTATCTCAAAAGCCTTATAAGTATTGTAAAACTTCTGGCCTTAAGAGAAGGAAAGTCCTTCCAGAAAGTGTTTGCATTTTCCTTCTGTACCTTCACACTCAATACAGTGTTCTGCCTGGTCTTTTCTGGAATTCTAAATCTAGTCCATCTCCTTAAAATGCAAATTCCAGGGAGGTAATACTTACCAAGTAAAAACAAGGAGGAAAGTCCACTTAAAACTTGACTTGCCAAGGACAAATACAAATCTTAAGGGTCTTCTCCACCAATCTATCATCTATCTATCTATCTATCTATCTATCTATCTATCTATACATTAGTATTTTTTTGGCTTTTCTTTTCTTTTTTTTAAAGATTTTATTTATTTGAAGAGGAGACAGCGAGAGAGGGAACACAAGCAGGGGGAGTGGGAGAGGGAGAAGCAGGCTTCCCGCTGAGCGGGAAGCCCTAAGCGGAGCGGGAAGCCCTAAGTGGGGCGCGAGGCTCCAATCCAAGACCCTGGGATCATGACCTGAGCCGAAGGCAGATGCTTAACGACTGAGCCACCCAGGTGCCCCTATTTTTTTTTTTCAAGGAGTGTATTTGGGCTGACCTGGGGACAGGGAGGCTCTGCATCTAAAAAAGGTGTTGGGTTTCTTGGTGGTGAAGCATGGCTTGTGCTGGCAAGGTAGGACACTGTGGGGGAGCAGGAATTTGATCTTGGAGTCCTGGAAGTGTTTGCTGTTGGGTGGTGTTTGCTAGCTGCAGTTTCCTTTACCTTAGTGATCTGGATCAAGTGGACGTGGGCTCGGTGCTGGACACCCATGTCTTGGTAGGACGGGGTGACGGCGCCCACGGTGGTCATGTCCCGGTACTGCCGGTATGTGTGGCGGGGGCCACTGTGGGAGTCAGCACAGCCAGAGGCCAAAGTTCTTCACCCGCAAGGGGGATTTCTCCAACACCTGTCCACAGTGGATAATTTCCCCTGAAGACTTCTTCATCTTCTTCAGCTGAGACACAAAGTGATGAAGGATAAAAGAAGAGAAATGTTCACTTTGAGCCCAGAAGGCTTGACCTATAGTCTGCATAGTTGTGACAAGGATCAAATAGGTGCTGGCTGCTACCTTCTAAAGGGTCTCATGACTGCCTGTACATCTCATCGCTAGTGAATATCCAGCTGAATGATAAGCACCAAAGAAATCTTGGGCAAGTTTTAAGAGTAGAAATTCAAAGAAGACATTTCTGATCTAATACTCCCTGTACGTCCCCTCCCCCTTGAACACTAAGCATGTAACCCCCAGCTTCACACAGCCACAGTGCAGGTGTTTCTGCCCACGGGTCCTGTCCCCACGCTACTTAAATAAACTCACTAACTTGTTAACATAAAATATCTCAAGAATGCTTTCTTGACTGTCACACTCAACAATCCCACAACAAAAGTACCAGAAGCAGACTGGGCAACAATATGATTAGGTGCAAAAATGTTCATGCAATAGAGGAGCAGAGGGTTGCATTTGGGGGTGGGGAGGCAGTGCCCCTCCACCTTGTACTCTCGAAATGTGCCTGAGGTCTTCATGGTGTGCTCTCCACTCTTGCCCCCACCCATGAAAGGTCATAAGTATATTTCTAAAAAGCTTTAGCCAGGGCGCCTGGATGGCTCAGTTGGTTAAGAGTCTGTCTTCAGGTTAAGTGTCTGCCTTCCGCTGGGGTCATGATCTCAGGGTCCTTATATCAACATTAAATATAAAACTTTTATCTATATGAGTTTACTATCCAAATAATTTTGTTATCTCTTGTAAGATCTATCCACAAAAAAATAATGGCTTAAAATAATGACTGACTTTAATGTTTCATAAAGTTTTTGTAAGTAATTTAAATATAATTGTTAAAAACAAGTGGATTAAATAAGAAGGTTCAGGTAAGGGGTCAGGGCTCTCTCCAACAATAGTTTCCCCAAATTTTTTTGGCAACTTAAAATCTTAAAAGTTTTGCTAAGTTAAATAAGATTTAAGCTAAATTCATTAAACATCTAGATTATTTCCAAATAAGACAAAGTACTAGAATACTAATTACTAAACATAGGGCTTACCTACTTTTGGCTATTTAAGAGAAATTAAAATTATTTGGATATGTTAATGTTACTTTAAGATAAATTAAAAAGACATATGCTTCTAAAATTTTAAAATATTCATTAATTTGCAAATGTAAAAAATTATATGACAGACTGATCACAATTACTTACTTAGTTTTCAATATGTCAGGGAGGAAGAATTTCATTTACCCTTCAAGGTCCTTCTAGCTGGACTAAGAACCAAATGACATGTGACACATAGGAGAAAATCTAATTTAATGGTGTATGTACAGGGAATCCACACAGACATGGAAATTCCAAAGACAGGCAGCATGATGTTTATATAAGCTAAGGAGAGGGGTAGGGTCTGAGGATACAAAGGGGAGGAAGACCATTAGCAGGAAGGTGAGAGGAGATGTTTGGAAAACAAAGGTTGCCCTGTGATGTAGGTGAGTTACTTAGGTAAAGAGTATCTGTTAATAGCTCTCTTCCTAGTACAAGCAGGCAGTTGAGGGGGACCTAAAGAGCTTTTCCTGAATCTTCTGGGCTTTAATTGCTTATAACTCAAAATAATGTTCATGCCAAAGTGGCCTAACTTAGGGTGACCTGCCCTTAGCCCCTACAATTAGAAACCATCTATAAAGAACTTATCAAACTCAACAGCCAAGGAATAATCCAATCAGGAAATGGACAGAAGACATGACCAGATATTTCTGCAAAGGCATCCAAATGTCCAGCAGACACATGAAAAAGTGCTCAACATCACTTGGCATCAGGGAAATACAAATCAAAACCACAATGAGATACCACCTCACACCAGTCAGAATGGCTAAAATGAACAAGTCAGGAAAAGACAGATGTTGGCGGGGATGCGGAGAAAGGGGAACCCTCCTACGCTGTTGGTGGGAATGCAAGCTGGTGCAACCACTCTGGAAAACAGTATGGAGGTTCCTCAAACAGTTGAAAATAGAGCTACCCTACGACCCAGCAATTGCACTACTGGGTATTTACCCCAAAGATGCAAATGTAGTGATCCGAAGGGGCACCTGCACCCCAATGTTTATAGCAGCAATGTCCACAATAGCCAAACTATGGAAAGAGTCCAGATGTCCATTGACAGATGAATGGATAAAGAAGATGTGGTATATATATATATACACATATACAATGGAATATTATGCAGCCATCAAAAAATGAAATCTTGGGGGCACCTGGGTGGCTCAGTCGGTTAAGCGACTGCCTTCGGCTCAGATCATGATCCTGGAGTCCCAGGATCGAGTCCCACATCGGGCTCCCTGCTCAGCAGGAAGTCTGCTTCTCCCTCTGACCCTCTTCCCTCTCCTGCTCTCTACCTCTCATTCTCTCTCTCTCTAATAAATAAATAAAATCTTTAAAAAAAAATGAAATCTTACCATTTGCAACGAGATGGAACTGGAGGGTCTTATGTTAAGTGAAATAAGTCAATCAGAGAAAGACAATTATCATATGATATCACTGATACAAGTTTGAGAAACAAGGCAGAGGATTGTAGGGGAAGAGAGGAAGAAATGAAACAAGATGAAACCAGAGAGGGAGACAAACCATAAGAGACTCTTAATCTCAGGAAACAAACTGAGGGTTGCTGGAGTGGAGGGGGGTGGGAGGGATGGGGTGGCTGGGTGATGGACACTGGGGAGGGTATGTGTTATGGTGAGCGCTGTGAATTGTGTAAAACTGATGAATCACAGACCTATACCCCTGAAACAAATAATACATTATACGTTAATAATAAAAAATAAATAAAGTTGAAAAATTGGGGCTTAA